ATGCAAATACACCTTTCAGTCACCCCTTCTCGCATCGCGGTGTTTCTCTTCGCTTGTTTGTCGTACCAGGTTCGAGGCCCCAGACAGCGGATGATGGCGCTGCTGAAAACTGATCGCTATCGCAAACAGCTTGAGCATTTTCGGCTACAAATTTAATTTCAATTTTATCATCAATCTTATCACCTGTCACTGTTGCAATTCTTTCTGTTCTAAGAAGTCGCAATGGAAGTATCAACTAATTCACTGCCAAAAAGGTATTAAATAATGACCCGTTCCAAAGTACCTGTAATCATCACCCTCGATTTTCCCACTATCATCGTAATGTTTCTTTCACCGTTAAGTTGGTGGCATGGAGGTCATATAAAGCCAAAGAGCATTCGATTGACTCAAACCTGCTAATACTAAATAATAATTGGCGTAAACGTCTGCGGTCTATCGGCAATCCAGTTACCTCCATTCCAATCGTCATCTTCCTACTCGCCATACCACAGCGAGGGTTTCGAAGTGTTTCGACGAGGAGTGGAGGAATCTCCCGACTGATAGATTTAAGGCAAATGCTTTGATCATCCCCGACTCCAGTGCCGTTTACTTCGCATTACATCAGTAATCGTCTCTTGTCACAGTATTTACATTGCGAAACTATTCGAAAGCAGCGAAGCCGTTGACTGACACGCCGTTGCTGATAGCTGATGATGCCTGATGCCAGCGTAGGCATCGTTATGTCCTTCGCCATCTCTTCCTTCACCAATTTTTCTCTTTATGCCTCGCCAGCCTGCCATATTTCATAGAACTTGGAGGGAAGTAGATACGAACCTTTGACTACCTTACTTAGCCTATCTTGGCTGGTCAGCAGATTTCTTCCTGCCTCACAATATTGTAAATTTCGAAATCACGGTGAGCGATCGATGGTCCTGCAGAGAAGCAACTTGTTGCTAGTGAACGTAAGGATAGCATTATGCAAATTTAACTTACTCATCGGCATTTCTTCGATTCCTCTTAGTATCGCAAAAAATGACCACAGACTAAATTACCTTCTGTTGCTTTTGTACGCTGTTGTTGTGTTAACTTGGAATCACTACGATATGTGATGATGGCAGATCTACGTTCTTCAGAGAAGAACCGTTCCTTCGACGGTGCTGTAACTAGTATTTTATAACGAAAGTGCTGAAACGCTTCGGACATCACCAACAAGAGAAATTCTGACTGCATAGATCGTACCAGACCATGTTCGCAACGAGCTCTGATCGCTGGCTAAGATAATAAGTAGGCTTCGCCTTTGCAATGCTCCTCTGCGATGCCTGCGTTGTAAAGAATTTGTTTTTTAGCATATGTATTACCAATTCGATAGCTATGAACCAAACGCGCAATACTGATATTAAGATGGTGATTTTCGGTGTCAACGTTTTGACCAAAAAACCATTGGCTCCAAGGGGCAAACAGTGGGACGTTTCGCCTTCACACTTTTATCCTGAGGATAACCAATATTATGCTTCATTAATATCGGTCTTATGTGTTGTATAAATAATACATCGGTGTTTGCTAACAAACTCTTTTCCATACCGTAACTAACAACATGATACGGACAGAGGCATATTCGTTGATGTTTCGAACATGGTTTTGTTCGATCCAACAGAGTGGTGTTGTTCTATGGCCATGCACTATAGGTGCTGAAATACGATGATGTTTTTTGGTGCCTAAACGATGCCGGTCCTCAAGATTACTAAAAGGAACGGGAGGGTGCGGTGCGGGAGAGTGACAAGAGAACGGTAACATATATCAATAAAGACTTTTGAAAGAACCAGATTTCACTGAACCACTATGCTGTAAGAAGAAACAGTTCATCAACAAGGGATTAATGCACAATGGTAGGGATATTGGCTGCATAAATAAGAATCTTTCTTTTACTGCCGGTCAACTGCATGGGCATATACAAAACGTTAGGGGATCAGATCATAGACATGACAGAAAGCCCATATCCAAATGGTGACTAATTTTCCATTTCGTTTTCCGACTCACCAACAGCCACCTCAGTATTCAGCAGTTATCAGCGAAGATGCTACATCGTGTTTTCGCCTCCTGCCAAACAGCATTAAACAGCAAGTAAATTATCATGTAACATCCACAGATAGCAAGTGCCGACAGTTTAAGGCAACCAGTTCAATTATAGTAGGAATTAAGTACCTGTTGGTACCAATGATTTTTTTACAGGTCAGCTCAGTTGCTGTTTTCGAGAACAAGATGAAGTTTCCTGGGTTGCATGATGTCAAATGTATTGAAATGGGTGCGTGATATGCTGCAATATCCGCTCAGCGAAACAGACAGGACTATAGTAAATAGTCCGGTCGTAACCACAAGAAGGAAATGCAAACTTTTACACCTGGTGATTGTTGTGACATATCTGCCCAAGGGCATGAAATCACCGCCAATTAAGGTTACAAACCAGACTGATGAAGCATTAGTGATTAATTCGGTACTCTGAGAAACATTATTAATCTGGGTACTCCGTCCTTGACTCTGATGCCTCAGATGCTGACAACAACGACAAATGATAATTGGCTTTTCACGGTATTGTGTAAATCTCCAGCGCAAATCAAAACCGGCTCGAAACAAGCGTAAACGGCGAACACACAAGCCAATTTGTATGTTGATGACGAAACCATGTTAACATATCATTAACGGCGCGGCTATAGCAATGTAGTTCAAACTTGTAATGCGGCTCGAGTGATCGGTAAGTAGATTTCATTAGATTTGGTTTCACAGGACCGACGGGGTCGTGGTTCAGTGTTTCTACACGAGCAAAAGACATGTACCATGACTTACTTTGTCAGGTAAACACATCATCTGGACTAGTTTAACAGTTTCTTTATGTCACTCTTATTTTCTTGCCTTCTTCGAGATGTCAGAGGTTCCTAATAACTGCAGCGACCGCTCTGAGGTAGTTAAATCTGCAGTT